CTTATTGTGTGGAAGGGGTTGAGAGGAACTTTCTTTGACTTACCTTATTTGATTAGCCACCCTGCTAACACTATTGCCTTCTAGCAGTCATTGAGGCAAGGTTTTTATGAAAAGTACAATAAGGCAACATCCGATCCTATCATTCATTATTTCTCATACTGAAATAAGTTGTGTACACCTAGACACTGAAGGTTTTTCTTCCAGAAGATGATCTTGGTTATATACTTCATTGCCTTGATAAATGAAGGATCTAGTGACCCTTGCAGGTGCAAATGGTAATTTGTAGTGTTTTAAAGCATAAATACATGACACGATTTATGATTCTAATTGGGCAGCTTTTCTAGATGGCATTGTAGTTTTCTCCATGGCAACGCTTTGCAGACGTGCTCGGCTGGCTGTGTTGCCATGCAGGGTTCAGAGCAGGGACTGCTGTTGTGGAGTTCCACTGTGTGGAACATGTGTCCTTTTCTTGGTTGCTATTACTGTTCAGAACTCTGCCGTAAGCTCCCTGTAGGCCACCTACCACAGTTTTTATTGAAGGCATCTTCTACAGCTGAGTTTTTAAACCTTGACTTCTAATTTAACTCCTTTTTCCTTTCTTTTTTTATATAGTCTCATCCAGGTCTGTCCTTTAACCCACAGGAATGAGAGTAACTTTTGTTTTGACACTATAATCTTTTAATTAATCAACCAGCTTGGGTTTTTTTGGCAAGTATGATAGAACTTAAACCCCATGCTTGACCTCTCTAGACTTTTGCATTAAAAATGCTTATCCCAGATGCTGAGGATCTATAGAAGTAAAAAGACTTTTCTTGAATGCGCTAGTGGAATTCTAAGCGGCACACACATGCTGTGCATTTGCTTTTATGTGGCTTCTAAATGGTCTTCAGAGGATGAACTACTTCTTGAAAAAGCTAATCTTTATTTTAATAATGTAGGTTTGTGGCCAAGTGACACAAGTATGTTTGTCTCTGGAAAATAGGGCTTGCTCTTTTGCTCCAGATTTTTGTGACAGGTCACAGACTTCTGTGCTCTGAGTTACTTCACTAACTCAAAAGTGCTCATTAAATTCTATAGGGTACAAGGAATTTAATGAAGGAACACATTAGCTTTGAACTGTGTTGAATTTGGGCATTGTTGGTTCTTTGTCAATGGTATCTTTTATGATTTTCTTTATCCTTTATCAATTTTCTTAGTAAGTAATAAGAAAATAAGTTGATTTTATCAGAGGTCCACTGAACATGCATGTCTAAGGTATTTTTTCCAGTGACAAATTTTATACTTATTCTAACAGTCTATTGTTTTCCTTTCTGGAAATAAAGTGACATTCAGCAACATTCATTGCTGCGGACTGAGCCTGGGACTTTCAGGACAAAAATGCATGAGGCACTGTATTACCTGTTAGAAAACTTGTGTTCTCTGAGAACTGCTCAAAAGGATGGGAATTAATCCTAAACTGAATTGTGTACTCACATCCCATAGAGTACAGGCGGCTTCAAGTATCCTGCCAGAGATTGAGGTGGAGTTGAAAATACTTTGCGATGGACTTTTTTATAAAATTCTTAATATTGGTTTCTTAACCAATTAACTTTTACTGTTCACTAAGCACAAACTTTAATTATTACAATTTATTAGATACTAGAATGGTAGTTTTCACATTGTATGCTTGATTTGCAAGGATGCAGTGTGGTGAAATCTTTTGTTCTTGATCTGCAAACTCATTAAACGTACCAGCAGAATATTAGAAATACTCCATGAAATTCCTTTTGCTGTGCTCTAAGAAAAGCGTTGTGTCCTAATTTTCTCTAGAAACTGTTTAACTTAACAGGTAAACTGGACAAATTTCAGATAGCAGTTTTACCAAAAAGGAAATTTTTTAGGTGAAGCAGAATAACTTTTACATCATTCTGAATTTGGCAAATATTTCTATTTGAAATTTTACCTTGACTTTCATTGTGACTCCCCCAAAAAAATCTATTTGGAGAAAAAAAAAGAAAATAATTATTTATATGGTATTCATTCCTAGCTAACATATCTGTTTTTTCTTTGCTAGGTTGAAGACTGATAAAGCTTTGCGTTTGAGCATCATTGGTGAGCAGAAACTCTATTACTGAATACAGTATTCAACTTTTTTGCATAGATTTTTTTTTACCAACGTTATAGATACTCCAGTTAGAGTTTTCTTCAGTATAATCTCACTCTGTAATCTTAAAATAGACTTTGTTAAAAAGCTGAAATATCTGACATGTTCACTCAGTATATACACGATTGAAGTTGAGGCTGAGCATAGCATAGTCTTCAGTAGGTGTACATGACAACAAGGCAGTAATAGACCAAACATCTATTTTGTACATCTGTACATGTCTTTATTGTACTTGTCTCCGTGCTTTTTTTTAATTGCTTGTAAAAGAGGGTGACGTATGTAGGTTAACAGACACAATTGTGCTAGCAACTAAATTCCAAACTGAGACACAACCTGAAATATTTTTTCTCTTTCATATGATTGACACTGCACCTTCTCAATTTAATGTGTTTAAAAATTGTGATGATCAGAACTCTTGCTCAGCCGTTGTGTTGTTTTTTTTCCCCTTGGGGCCTTCCTTAGTTTCCATCTTAAGCAATTGATACAGTGATATTTTAAACACTAATTTCCAGTAAAGCAAAGCGTAACGCCTTTTTTCCATAAGGAAGATATAAAATACATCTGAAATAATGTGAGAATGTTGCTATTACAGCTACCTTCATACCTGGTACACACAATATCAGTAAGTCTACGATGCCATTCAGAATCTTGAAAAATGGGGGGTTATTTCAGAAACTTTGAAGAACTTTAATCTGTGTTGGTTCTACAGTGATGATACAATCATTAATGTTAAGTTTATTTTTTGTAGGAGAAAAACTGCAATGGTTTCAAAGTCACCTTGACCCCAATAAAATTGAATACACAAAGAAGGAAGCTGGTGAACTAATTGAAAAGTAAGACTGGTGTTAAAAATAGGATTAAAAAGCTTGATTTGTCTTTTAAAATAATGTTCTTGAAAAAGATCTGTAAAGTGATGATGACTCAGAGGAGGACTTTTTATGTATTACTATCAATAATATCAAGTAGTTGATTTTTGTTGCAACTGAGGTTAATTATATATATATAAATGTGTGTGTATTCACACTAGAATTACTGAAGACAGACATATATTGTTCAGGTTTTTTTATTGTTTAAGTATATCTGCTTTTGTACTGTGTGGAGGACTTTAAATGACTTGGACAGTAGTAATTGCATGCATTTTCTAATTGGGTTACTCAGCGACACTTAAACGCACAGATTTCTTTCTACTTCTCTATTCTTTAATTTTTTTTTCTGAGAAGATTAAACAGTACTCAGGTGGGTCATTTTTTAGGGCAGGAAATACCAAAACTGGATCTGCTAAGAAGAAACTCAGTTATTTCTCTGCTGCTGGATGTATGTACCTGTGGCTTGGCACCATTTTTCACCTGCTAGCTAAAAACATAATATATATTGTTCTTACACAGGTGTACTCTATCAGTTTCCTTTCAGAAGGTCTGACATATTTCCTGCACTGTTCATGAAATCTGTATACTGCTAAGCAACGCTAGTGATACTCCAAAGGCAATAAAAGCTTACTTTTTGGATTTGGGTTGGATGTTTGCAAGATGATGTAGAACACGTGCCAAAGAAGAGCTTTAAAAATATTGAAGTGGTGAAATTCAGTAATTAAAATTGAGGAATACTTAGATTTAATACTGGTCTTCCAGAGCAGATGAATTATACTAATGTGGGAGTTTTGTTTTATGCAAACATAGTTTAAAAAAACCCAACAAATAAAACCACTAATCCTTCTAGCATCTGCAGGTGATTCAAATGAAGTTCTAAATGGAGCTTCCACTTTGAAGATTAAAGTAATAGTTCAAATCTAAGAAACATCTCTGACTAATTTAGAAAATAAATAGAATTACTAAAATGACTTTTTAGATTATCAAAGTAATTCTATTTTGCAAAAGTTTTTCATGACTGCATCTAGCATAAATGCATTTTATTTCTTTCAGTTATATGTGTCGATTCAATGCGGAATTGGAGCAGATTGAATTACAAAACAGTATTAAAGGTAGACAAGGAAGACAGCATGGTTCACGGGAAACTGTCATCAAGCAGACCATAGAACGTGAAAGACAACTCTATGAAGGCTATGGAATAGGTATGTAAAAACGTTAGAAATAATCACGCCACCTCCTCCTGCTCACAAGGCTACAATCTAAGTGAAATGTCTAGGCATTTATTTTTCTCTTTAAAGGAGTTAACTAACAGCTAGATATTTATGCCTTGCCAAGGATTTAGGATGAGGGGCAGGGTGAAGAAAAGGAGAAAAAAGATGGTGGAGATCTGACTCATAATTCTGCTTTAGTACTTTCCCTTTGTGCATCTTTGCTAGTACTGCCTCTTTAGTGCAGGCATATGTAACATATTTTTGAGACTAAAGTAAGATTTAATGCACCTGTCTCAAATACAAATTCTGTTCAGCAGCTTGCTTTGACCTTCATTATATACAAAGTATTTTTTATCTTAAAAGTGCATTTTAGTGGGTGTGCATGTTTTAACATGTATCAGAACAAAGACTTTGTTTGCTCATGGGGGGAATAACCAGCATCACTTTCTCTACAAATTACTTTTTTTTTAGGTGGGCTTCATTATCTGGACTTGTGCCAATCCATACACAGCTTCTCTAACATTCTTACAATAATATACAAACTTACTGTTAGGGACAAACCTGTGGCCTGGCTTGCCCCTTTCCACTGAGGTGGACCAGTGGCATGAGGAACTTTAGCAAGTTTCATATCATGAGAGAGTGGGCTTTAGGGTTCATGAACTTAAAAAGAACCAAAGCTTCCGAACTCATGAGCCTAAAACATCTCTGTAGAGAGACCTTTCATTCCACTAAAGTTGAGACGTGTTTCGTGTGGGAGAATGATTGCAGCAGAAATTGAAGTACTGATGTATTTCCAAAGTTTGAATATTTTTGGAGTTTTCCTATTAAAATTTAGGTATTCCAGGAAGAAATCCTGAGGTATTATAACACATAGACTCTACAGGCTCTATTCGACAGGCATAAAAGATAACCCACAAGTAGAAAACCACATTTTTCCTCCTCTTCTCAGACAGAGGAGTTATCCTCCTTTCTTTGACTTACTGGAGATGGTGGTGGAGGGAGTGTAAGTTCTGTGTGTGTGTGAAGGCCCTAACACTTAACCTCTTAATAATCAAAACCCCACAAAAACTCCAAAGATTTAAAATTAAAAATCTTGTAGATAAGAGCTTGGTTGAAAGCACTTTGAATTTTTAAACATTCACCTTGTCCATTATCACAAGTTTGAGTAAAATCATAATGCTGGATATTCTGGCTGACTTTCTTATTACCATTTATCGTCCTTTGCGGTAGCCATCTATGCCAGCAGATTATCTAGTGAAATCTTCTGAGGAGCAGTCATGGGTGAAAACCACAACATAAGCGTTAGAGCTGAAAATTTCCCCTTAAGGTGCATAGTGTTCTTTAAGAAGAAACACTCTTTTTGAAAGTATTTTCTGGTTTTGGAGGTAGTACGCACATGCAAGCTACACTGAAAACAATTTGATAGCTGGAACTAGGCTGAAGGGAAGCAGCAGTAATCTGCTGAAATAAGGGAGAAAGACAAAGGGATAATGAAAGTGCCAAAAGCAAAGACTTGTTTTGAGGAGAGTCAAGTTCAGAATAGTAGTGACATTTATATATTTTGCTTTAACAAATAAGCATATTGGAGTTGCATGATGAACTTGGCTTTAATGCTAAAGTATTTATTATTCAGGCACAGTCAGTCATTCTAACAGTGTATGTATGTCATGGAAGAAATGAAAAATCTACATTGTTCTGTGGGTAGGATACAAAGCACAGCAAGGTTTGGGTTGTGCATCATATTCCCTTTCCCTGATTTATATTGTACTAATAAAGAAAATGAATGGCTTTAAAATTTTGCCTATATCATTGAGTACTTCCACAACCTGCAGTGGCAGACGAATTGAGGAATATCTGTATGACTTCATGCGTAATCTTTGATTTCTTAGAAGGAGGGGAAAGAAGTCATAGGAAAACAGATACTATGAATGTCATCAAATAGCTTAGTTGTAGAAAATCTATCTCCTTTTTGGTTTTGCTTTTTAAATTTTAGTTCTTCCTTTTTTTTCCTTATTGCTTTGTGGAGAGCTGACAGAAAAAAGCAGTAGGACTGGATAGAAAGATGTCAATGCACAAGCACAACATAAAAATAAAGAAGAATCCAGAAATATTGTAAGCAAAATTTGAGGTTATTATAGTATTAGTAAGTAAAGCATTCAGAGAGCATGGTGCAACTTCACATATTAAATACACTCTCAAATCATTCATTATTTGTTATCACAGCTGCTTCAGGTTTTGCTCTCTGTCTAGTACAGTATTCATTCAGGGAAAATAGTTGCTGCTAAATACTGTAATTAGAGATTGGGGATAAATGGAAATCAGCTGGAAACTGTGCTTTTATGCTCTAGCTCATTATTATCCCTGGAAGCTGTAGTGAGTGGAGCTTTTATAACTGACTTAGTATTTGTTGGGTTTTTTCCCCCTATTCTTGAACTCAGTTTGTATGCATGTTCATTTGCTGTAAAGAAACTACATGATATAAATTGTTTACCTTTAGAAAGGTCTCCTAAAATTTGATGCTGTGTATATATCAGATATATGTAAATGCAAAATTAATTCTTCTTTACTGGTTGTTTACAAAAGTGGTAAATATCCAAAAGCATAGCAAATTCTAGTCTTTCTGTAAAAAACAGTACCTACACAAGGAACATTCAGTCGTCTGTGAGGTGGTTGAGTTTTGTTGGCAGCTTCTTGTCACTTCCTTACTCGTTAAATATATCTACACTAATTTTACTGCAGTTTTCTTCCTGATGTCATTTGTGTGTTGTGTGTTTTTAATCTGGTTTTATATGTCTACAGCAAAGCTATTGAAAGGGAATCCTTTATAGGATATGCCCTTGGAACTCAGAGTTAGCATGCTTTCAGTTGAAAAGCATCATAATTATTTCATCTGAACATCATACATTTTTGATTATTTGCTCTAATTACCTTGCATGTTCTCTCAGAAGCACAATGTTAATCTTGGGGAAAAATGTTCCTTAAAGCTAAACACACCATTTTTATTAGTTAATTCTTGAAACTTCAGGTTATATGGAAATTGATTTAATTCAGATGAAAAATGTATCATTTACATGTATCTGGTAATGTAACTACTGTACTGTTTGTTAGCTGCTGTTTTCTGTAATGATCATTATTGTGTAAATGAATGGTTCTTTGTCTAAAGAGCATTACAGTTTCTAACATCCTTTTCCTTTTTTAACTTCAGGCTGCAATATCATCTTTTGACCTGACTTAGATGTTTCTCTGTATGACAGTTCTAATGGATTTGATATATATGCAGCCTATATTCTGTGTAGAGCACTGACAAAGCAGTGATATTTCAGTCCTTGTGAAATGTAGGTAAATCTCTTGTGTGAGTCTTTGCTTTGGGAGAGAGAAATGTTACTGCTATGAAGAAGGATAATGTTTTTATTAACAACATACTTCTGGAAGGAAATAAAACATCTCAGCAGACTGTCACATAGCACTTAGTTAAAAAATAGTTCTGAGACAGCCAGCTGTAGAAGGGCACTCTGACACCAGGACTGGCTCCTCTATCCTTTTTTTCTCTAGTTATGTTTTAGAAGCCCTCCAGTTCAAGCCTGTGCACAGAGGCAGGATCAGTTAGACCTACAGCTGACAAAAGCTTTTTACCTTTGATGCTGTGGTGGGTTGACCCTGGCTGGGGGCCAGGTGCCCACCAGAGCTGCTCTATCACTCCCCCTGCTTCACTAGACAGGGGAGGAAAGGTACAATGAAATGCTTGTGGGTCGAGA